CTCTAGAGTATCAAAAACACCGAAGAGAACGAGGCGAGCTGCTTCAAACAATATTCTCGTCGTCTAAATTCTAGCTTTGATGCAAATTTTACTAGATTACGTCAAAAGCCGCAGAATTACGTAGAAGTACGCTTGCACCGTTGCAAAGGAAAGTAAAACGATCCCGAATTATTTTATAATATCAGGAAATGTCGAGATTTGACATGATCAAAGAGATTATCCTTCGTTAGATCAAAAGTGCTCGATTAGATTTTTTAAAGCTATATTAGAGAATTCCCTTTCCTTTTCAAAGTATATTCTCTTATCTTGAGAAAGTGCACCACGAGTAAAGTGCAACGTCTTAAAACATCATATTCTTTCTCGCTAAAATGATTAATTATTTTTGAATAATGTTTTCTTAAATAATCAAGAATTTCATCAATTATTTCAATTACATGAGCCACGACGAAAATGTTGCTTATAAGAAGATAAAAATATTATTATCAACAAAGACTGAAATATTTCAAAAGTATTGTTGAGATAAAGAAACATTCACACACGCAAACAAAGTATTCTAGTGTTCTTCGCAATATCCTTCGACATGGCGAAAGATATTATCTTAGAATAACATGATAGCTCGGTAAAAATGGCGGAATGCAAACAAAGTGTTTTGCTTACGGTTTAGATGCAATCTCTTTCTAACCCCGGCGTTCCGTGTCAATTTGAAGTCATTGAATTTGCATAGTATTACTTCATCTTGCTTGCGGCGGGATAATCAGAGGCTCCAACGTAAATGATACGGAAATTTTAAAGGAAAATGTCCACACGTGGCTGTAATAAAAAAAAAAAATCTATTTACTCTAACAATTTTATATTTATAACAGATATTAAATATTAAATTTATAGAACTACGAGATACTATAATAATACAGCGATCGAATCATATCGAATATTATATTAGATGCTTTCGCAAGATTTTCTTAAATTTTTAAATTAAAATATAATTTATTTATGCTTCTGTTTTGTCAAACAATGAGGATACGTAATATTAAAAATTAATTATTTTATCTCGAAGATTAGAATAAATGCCTGCAAATGATGTATATTACTGCAATTGCTAGAGTGAATAATTTTCTTTATGTACATATAGAAATATATGTAGAAAAATAAATTTTTTTTCTATTTTAAATAGAATTAATCATAAATTAATGCTTTATTATCATCTACTTAGGTAGCATTTGCTTATTAGAAAGCAAAAGCTGTAACATTTTCCTTTTCTTTGAGTTAAACGCAATATTTAACGCGATCTTTTTCTTCTTCGCCAATACATTATACTGCAGGAACAATGCGTTATATTTTATTTTACATGCACATGACTCCCTCGAATATAACCTGGATTATTATTGTTCTCGAGTACGCCATTACTTCAACAACGGTTGGGAGAGTTTTTGACGTTATTGACAATGCCTCAATTTTCTCTTTGTGGAAACATTCAGCATGAAAGAGAGATAAAAAAGGATATGAGGAACAATGGTGAAATGCAGGTACCGTAACCGTAATATTAAAGACTCTATATATGCATTTTTAAAAGAGAAAAAAAGAAAAAAAGACATGTTTTCTTCCTCTTGTAAAAGTGCATTTTCACGCACAAGGAGGCGAGTTCCTACATACAACTGTGCAAAGAAGAGACTATAATAATTCATGTCCTCGGGGGATTACGTTTCTCACAGAGTACCTGAAAACTCTCCAAGTAGCTTTTCATATTATCCCCATTATTCTGAGAACGTTTGGACATATATAATAATCGTATTTTTAATGCTTTTTCTCATATTATTTCTTAGCCACAGGTTTAGCGTTGACAATGAACTCTCCGGCGGGTTCTCGGGAAAACGCGACGCTCCGTTTATATGAACATTATGAAGTGCGAACAACGGCCGCTGTTAAGGAAAAAAGGAAGAAAATGAGAAAATCGTCGTCATCGGCAGTCGGCAATGTTACCACGATGGCGATGCATCTATTTTCCACGCCATCGTTCCGGAAAATTGGTCCTTTCGCCAGCTTCCGCCGACGTTATTCTCTTTCAAGCAGATGCACGCGATCTCCTTCCTCTGCACGCAACGGGTTCAAACTGATCGCTCGATAGAATAAGAAAGAAATCATTATATTAAGTAGTAGTGGAGGTTTCTCAGTTTCGCGATATCTATATCGAAGGGAATGAAAATCCTACCTTATAAAAAATTAATTAAGTTAAAAATTTTTATTTAAAAATCAATTTTTGGAGTAAAATAAATTATAGGTATGTAAAGTTGTTATTATACGTAAAGTTTCAATTGTGGATACTTTTGAAAATTTTTATATTTTAATTTTCAGTTTATTAAATTATTTTTTAAATATAATAATTTACTTAAATATTTTCTATTGATGCATATATTTTATAAGATTATCTTAAATTTTTAATAAAATATAAACTTTTGCTAAAGAAAAATTTGAAGAAGCAGATTGAGAAAGATTTTTTGTCTTACGTTAGTGTGATTATATTCAATTGATTAAAATTTGATACAAGATAGAAGCGTCCGCGATTTTACCACTGTTGTGATTTTACCAGTTGTGCCACTGGCCTCGTCGTATTAATTTGCATTGGTTTAAGGGGGTTTACGGGGGTTTACAGAGAGGTACAGAGTTTGATGTTAATTCGGTTAAACGAGTTTGTTAATTCGCTTCCTCGATAATGGGAATTGTCGCCTCCAGGATCTGAATAGCATAAACGGTAGAATCCTAAATCCTAGGGAGATTTACAGCTCGGTGGACCGTAAATCTGCTTCGACCTTTTCTCTGAATGGTTAAATAATAGGACTTTTCCTGTCGTAAAAATTTAAATACGGCTTATCGAAGGTAGATATTCGTAATTCATACAACACGATTTTCCTGTTAGATATACTTTATTTCCGTATAGGATCGGTATAATATTAATCATCTGTATTCTCGGTGCAGGACGTAAAAATAGTGCGCTACTATTTCTTTCGAATTCGTTGAATATTGATGCTCTTTACTATTAAAATGTCGCGGAAATATTCAAGGAAACAGAAATATTGTTTTTCCTTTTTCTTTGCGATGAAAAAATTGACTGAAGAGAAAAATTGGTTGAAGAATCCATAGAAGAGAACGTCCCCGGGGATCACCTTTTGTACATACGTACACGTGTGGGCGAGTTTCAATGGATGTACTTACGTCATTGCCCATTTTTAAACGTGGGCGGAAAACTGCAAACGCCACTACCTACGTCATCGAGCGATCGTACGTGATATCCTGGCTCGATGTTCCGAGAGTGAGTCCGGCAAACATTCAAAGGAACGAATATTTAAAGCTTGAAATTTTTTAGTTTAAAAATTTTAATTTTTAACCGTAAGAGGGACGTTGTGACAATATTAATTAATATTTTTTAACAATGTTGGCATTTCTCTCGCTTTATATTCCTCGCGAAATAACGTTCTAGATTTCTGCGAGACAGTATAGAGACGTATCGTGCTGCAATATTTTTAAAATTTAATTAATTTTTTGAAAAGAAATGATCCTGCCCATTATATTTATTTTATAATCCGCGATCGAATCTTATATTTATCCCACAGATTAAAGTGGATACATCGAAATAGAGGAAAAATAGAAATGTAAGAATTCTATAGCTAAATCCTGATTTTGGAGATCAAAAATATAAAAAACAACTTTTTATTAATCCTTTCCAATCGTCAGTTTTTTTACGATCGATAGTTCTGCGATAGTTATAGTATGTACGTACGTGCATGCAGCGAAAGATTTAACGAATACGATACACGAGAATCAAACTGAACGTAGAGGACGAAGAACGGAGCCGATAAACTCGGTACGGTTTTGAGGATTAATTGAATTTCACGAGACGAGGTAGATAGACAATAATGACATTCCCAAGTTTATCGCTTGTCATATTGATACCACTCAAAAGCAGCTGTCAGTTTACAGTGTTTACACTATCGACATGTTATCGACAATCATAATGTCGCAGGAGTAATTATGAAGTTCCAGTAGATGTTCCTCGATAAAGAACGTAAATGATATGATACTGTCGAACTAATCTCAGATGAACTAAACAATTCTTTTAACAATTGATTTCTAAAAAATATTGTTCTTATGACACCATTTAATAATTGTAATTAATTACTAGTAAGATTGACAATATTAAAACATTGCTTTTTGATTTTTTAAGATTAAGTTAGATAAAATAAATGTGACTCTAAAAGAAAAGATGCTGCGTTTTAACAATCTCGCGGAATAAACGTATTTGTCGTCGTCAAAGGATTAAAAGAGTGACTGGCGTAAAAGCTTCATGACGGAACTCAAATGGGCAGTCGCTTTTCGGAACGAATAGCTTCTCTCGGGAAAATTTTACGTGATTCTGTAAAGTGACAATAACGTCTCTCGGTACGTCGTTACGTACAGTTTCCACTACATTAGAGAGTGCCTCCAGCAAAACAAACATGTACAAACATATCCCATCTTTACGTGTTTGTCATCGTCCCGCCAGATGATTATTGTCGGGAGCGCTATACATAGCGCTATATATGCAAATTTTATGCAAATCGACTATTAGGCACACTACAAATAAATTTCGTCGCCTATCACTAAAATGTCTATTTTACCGGTGTTATTGTGCTGACGCGACGATGTGTTCTTCATGCATATCATTAATCTTAGATTCGTAAACATCTCTGATGAACGTCTAACTATTATGGAAGGAACTGGGGAATTTGAAGCTTTACATCAATGATTTTTGTCGAATTGGGACACATATCCAAGGATGTATCGGCAGTGCCTTAAAATAAAATTCATACAATTTCGACAAGTAGTTTGACAAAATAAATCCAATCTTAAAGAAATAATTTATACCTGGCACTAATTAATTGTAATAATAATAAAGAAAATAATTGAAGAATTTACTTATCGAAAAAAATATTTAAAGTTCTAAATATTTGAATAAAATATTTTGCATGTATTAATTCTTCGAGCACAATATGTACAATCAATTGATGTATACAATATCATATCAAAATGTCACTTATCCCTTAACAATAGTAAATAATACATAAGTTTCTGCTTTAAGAGCTGCAAAATCGCTATCGTACAACTAATAATTCGTTCACTGCTACTCGAGATCTTCTTCAACATTTCCGAAAGAAATACGAGAGACTCGAGAAGCGTATTTTTGTCAGTAAGAATAAAGATTACATGATATCGCTCTTCGCACGGCCTTATCTTTGAAAGAATCTTCGTCGTGTCATTTCGTGAGAAACGAACGAGATCTTCACGATATCGTGAACCTGTCGTGTATTGGAACCTACCGGTTTCGACGAGAGAAACGGACAAGTAAATGGAACTGCTCGCACATGTCAAATATCTTTTACCTTTCGCAACACGAGAAAGATTAATTGAATACAATATTAAAAAGCTGAAAAAGAGATATTAAAAATGTGCGATGGTACTTCGCAAAATTTACGAAAAACGAGCAAGATGTTATTATATTAGTTTTTTCCAGTAGAAAAATTTGCGAAAGATAAAAATACGTCATCGCTCAACTTCTCTCTTTGATGGAAATCTCTCCGAATATTCATGCTGACGTTTTTTCAAAAAAAGACAAACGAGACGCGTACAAATCGAATTTTTAACTTTTTGGATCACATTTTTAGTTGCGGCACATTCTTTTAACCGTGCAAGAATAATCTCGCATCGAAATCGGTAGATAATATAAAAATACAAAACTACAAAAGATAATTATCGCAAGATTCAACTTTGTTGAGCATCGTCGTAGACATGCAAATAGATTTTAATAAATAGATAAATATATAAACAAGAGTTTATCAAACTATCAGTCAGAAATTCTTAAATCGGAATTCGCTTGAGTATAACAATTGTACAACGGTATACTTCGAGATTTGCACAGTGTCAATTAATATCAATACATCGGATACAAATCGAATTTTTAACTTTTCGGATTACATTTTTAGTTGCGGCACATTCTTTTAACCGTGTAAGAATAATCTCGCATCGAAATCGGTAGTATAAAACTAATAGGTTGGCCAATAAGTTCGTGCGGTTTTTTTACTTATAAATTTATAAGTAAAAAAACCGCACGGACTTATTGGCCAACCTAATATAAAACTACACAAGATAATTATTGCAAGATTCAACATTGTTGAGCATCGTCGTGAACGTGCAAATAAATTTTAATAAATAGATAAATATATAAACAAGAGTTTATCAAATTATCAGTCAAAAATTCTTAAATCGGAATTCGCTTGAGCATAACAATTGTACAACGGTATACTTCGAGATTTGCACAGTGTCAATTAATATCAATACATCGGGATGAATTGACGCGGTAAACCCGTCGCTTCGTTGCTAATGATCTGTCGACAATTTCGGCGCTTACGCAGCGAATACTGCGAACCAAGCTTAAATCGAAGTGACTCTCGTTGACCAGACGGTAACCAATGGCATTGAATCGAACCTAAACCTAAGTAAAGTGACGTGCGCACAATTTAAGCCATAAATAATTGTCAAACGGTCGTTAACTAATTTTCGAACATCAACATTCGATTGTGAGAAGCTTGATCGTAATTTAAACAGATTACTATCCAGCGTGACGTATTTCAGCGAAGTTTGATTAAATCGCAATCTGGAAAATTCCACCCAGCCGAAAGTTTCTCCCGAGGGGAAGAATCGCCGGTGCTCTCTTCTAGGCATCAAAACTCCTCTCGATCGCCCGTGATTTCTCCCGCGACATGGAAAATCTAAAGTTCCTTGGACTCACGGTGGCGTAACGGTGCGTGCTGGGCTCTTTCGGCACGTGTGGCTTATTGCGCCTGATGGTAGATAAGAAATCCGTGCTGAAGTTGCACAACGTATGAACGTTATTGACCGGTGTCTGCTGAGGAACGAGCCCATCGAGCGCCGACGTCGACTTGCACGAACGTGACCTGAATGTATCCATATATACATATTTATCTACTTTTAATCGATTAATTGTTTCAAAAGCATTGCACATTATTGAGCTATTTGTGAAGTATTATTTTATTATTTATTATCTTTAAATGTTACAGAAAATAGAAAATGAAAAAAATCAAAATAAAATTTCGTCTTTCTCTAATATTATTGTCAATCTATTATTATATCTTAAAATATATATTGTGTATCATGTTATCATATATTAATATATATCACTGGTCTTTTATGTGTAATATTGTTATATCAACTCGACAGTTCGTGTAAAGCTACATGGTCTGTATCTCGCTGCGCATACACTTGGCGCGAGACACTACCTTGATATTATTACGTTCATATTTTTACGTTACTACACGGTGTTATTACTAATAACAGTATTATTATCATTATAATTACCTCAATATATCGCAGTTGTTATTTGGAGATGAAGCCAAACATCCAGACATCTTGGAGTACGAGATACTCAATTTAGCTTGAGACACAGGCGACGCCGACGTACCTGACGGTTCCAATTCACGCGTATCAGATTCAGGTTCCTTGGCGTTGCATCTCATTTCCCTCTCCTCTATCAACTCCTCCGTTGTTTGATCCAACTTTGTCTCCGCGACAAAGGGGTGTTTGGGAATCCCGTTTCGGGTCAGATAAGGATGCTTGGGAAGCGATGGGTGTCCACCGGAGGCTTTCAACTTGAAAGAATTCTTGAGCATCGGGCTCTTCAACGAAGATTCGACATTCCCGTGGTTTTCTTTGTAGGCGGTGGTTGCGCCGCGCAAAGGTACCCAGTGGGTCGTCGAATCGGCAGGCTCAGAATCGCTCGTGAACTCTTCGCGGGACACTTCAGTCAAGACCATGCGAGAGCTCTTCGATCGGGTCTTGTCGCTGACGCAAGCGTTTTTCGCGCGGCCGAAGGTTCCAAAGGTCGGCGGCGTCAACGGCCTCTCGTTAGGATCGGAGCACCAGGACTTCTGCGAGGAAGAGGACGAAGAGGACGGAAACCGATCGATAAATCCCGAGTCGGAGGTACGCTCACTCGGCTGCTTCTCTTCGGCCGATTTTTTCCACACGTAGCTCAATAGTTTAGCGTTGAATGCCGACTTTAGTAATTTCTTCAGCGGTTTCTTTCGAGATAGCTTCTCGCCCAGAGCTGATATCCACGTCTCGCGGGTGTCGTTGTCGAGCTTGATCGGCCGATCTTCATTCGGCGAAACCGGCGTTTCGCCGATCGCTCGCGGTGACTTTCGGTTGGACGACGGACTTGGAATCAATTCAGGATCTCGAAGATTATCTCGAGCCTCTGGAATATCTTTGGAAAATGTAACGGTTACGTCTTGGAAGGATGAGTCCACTAGCAGACTACCGTCATCATTATTTATGCTTAACATGTTATTGTGCGACGACCCCACGGAGGACTTCAACGATGACAACGATGATGAAGTTGAGGAGAGTTCGAGTTCGTCTTCGAAGCCGTATAAATCGGCTTGTAAGTTTCTGTAGCTATTATTGGTGCTTGAATCGTAAGAGCTTGTTAAAATATCTTTAAGAGGATCCTCGCAGTCCAAGTCTTTGTCTTCAAAATTCTCCAAAGGACTTGAGCAAATCATTAATTTGCTTTTCTTCGTTTTACATTCTAACTTTTTATCCCTCTTCTTCGGGTTCCGTGTCTCAATCCTCCTCGAAGGACTGGATTGTACGTTCATCGACAATTCGCTCATGCAGCTGTACATATTGATCTTAGGAGGGGATCTCGGCCATGTCTCCGAAACTGCTTTTACGTCGCTCTCCGAATGATACCGATTAAGAATAACAAAATCATCTTCGACCGCGCGTGCCTCAAATGAAGTCAAAAAGATCTTGGATTTTTTCTTAAAGTCGTCTCGACATTGCGCGCTGGGCACGTCGTATATCGCGGGACTCGAGCCGTTTTTCTCTACGTTCTTCCGATTCTTGACGACGTCAAGAGCGTTAGAGAAACTAGATCTTTCGTCAGTTCGTTCCCGTTGAATGTTGTCGTTAGACGCTCTTACGCTTGACTCGTAAGCTTCGACAATCTTCTTGACAAAGTTGCCGTCGTTCGAAGTCGACAACTTCGATGCGGTATCCCGGCAGCTGGCCGACGTCGAGAAGCCCGTTTCGAACTCCCGGATCAAGATCTCCATGTTCGGCATATTCTTCGGTATGTCCGGCAGCACGCGAACTCCGTTGACGGGCATGTCGACGGCGATTAAAAGTCCACTAAAGCTCGCTTTTGAGACAGAACAGTCCGCGTATCCAGTTCAATTTGCGTTTCCTCGATCGGTGCGGAACTACGAAGACAGATGGAAGAATTTTGTATGAATTTTAATTAATCAGAATTGACTAGCAAGAATATTTAATGCCGAATCTAACAAGCATGTGTATTTGCATATATTTTAGAGACAGTTTTGTTTCAATATTTAAAACTATATTAATAATAATACTAATAAATAATAATAAAATTAATAAGTATAAATTTATTTTTGTTACATTATACCAAAAGACAATAAAAATTATTATTTAACATTTTCTGTTTTTTCAAATAAAATTTTTCTTGTAATATTATGGTACTAGATATATTTATTTACATGAGCTACGGTCAACTTGACGCTACAAATACTTTGAAGCGTTCTTCTTCTCCTTCTTTCTTCGTTGAAAGAAAGGAGAAGAGGAATGCTTCGAAGCATTTGTAGCGTCAAGTTGACCGCACCCATAATCAACAATTAAAATCTATTTTGCGTATAAATTTCAAGAGATAAATAAATGTCTAATAATGTTCCAAAAAAAGCTTAATTAAACTAAGATAAATTTACTTAGTTCAATAAAATTTAATTCGTTTTTAGTAATATTATAATTCTAATGGAACAGATAATTCCAAATTTCTATAACGCCTTTTTTTATAATTATTAATTACAATATACTAACTCACTTAAACTTTTTGCTATAATTTGTTATTATTTTATAAATAACGACAAATACTTTATAAATATATCAGATTATAATCGTAAGTAAAATAAATAAAATATATATATGTCTCAATATATATATATATATATATATATATATATATGTATATATATATATATAGAATAGAGTTTTTAGGACATTAAATTAGGTAATATAGTATTAAAAATAAATAGTTCATAATAAAAATAAAGAGATTATAAGTAAGTAAATCTATAAAGATATATAATTAGATAATATAATTAGTATTATTAAAAATTCATAAAGAACAGAAAGGAGGAGAATTTATATTCTTTGATATATTTCTTATAAATTTCTTTATAAAAACTTTTATCCCTATTATGTACTTCTTCCACATTAATTTTGTAAAATTCATTGTAAGCGTGGTATTAGCGACTTTTTAACTGAGTGTTTCGCATTTTTGAGACACCTCCCAAAAATTTTAAAATTAGATTTAAATGTGTTATAAAAGTCACTGAAATTTTACAATAGCCATCAAGTCAGCAAAACTTGTGCGCTAATAATTATTTTACATCTCATATATGTATGTATAGAATATATGTATATAAAACAATTTATACAAATCTCTACACTGCAAAACTGTATAAACTTTTCCAATTCCCCTAACATTTTCTCTCTCAATATTCAAAACTTCAAATATCCTAAAGTTTACACCGCGAAACTCACCTCCTTCACCAGAATCAATGTTTCACGCAAGGAGGAAATCAGAGCGAGGACTCAGATCATGTTTTTCCAGAGCGTTGATCCACCATCGGAGAATTAATGATCCAGCAAAAATGATCTTCCCACAATTACTGTACAATTTGTTGTGTAGCTATCGAATAATTCACTGCAGGACATAGAAGCGGATCATCGGGAGAATCACTCAAAACGAGACGGATTCGCTATACCGAATCGATCAAACGACTAATGACTAATCGATTGTATAAAACCGCAATTAATTCCGCAATAAATCTAATTAATTGGCTGCCGATATTATTGGTTACCGCAATACAAGAATTGACCAAATATTCGAGATCTCTACAAGTCTGGCGAACGCGCCATCTGATGCGACGAAAATTTAGAGACAAATATCTGTCAGTTAGAGTTAAACGTCTTCGCACAATTGTGTCAAACAGGAATACAACTGTTCCTTTTTGATGATCGATAGCTTATTTTCATGTACTTTTGTGAAACTACTAAATATCGATAAATCTTTGAATTTAAATAATATTCGATCTAGCTCTAACTAACGTTAATTCTTCTCTTCCTTGCTTTTGACATTCTTATTTCTCCTTCCATTCAAATAAACTTTAACAGAATTTTAACTTCAGAGATGAGTAAGATTCCTGACGATATCTGATTGGCAAGCTAATGACAAAACTATCCCTTATCTATTAACATTTTTTTCGGCGCAATACAAAATTCAATTCGCAGAGGTTTGCAACATCTAAATCTAATGTTTAAAAGATATAATAGATATAATAGTTATAATATATATAATAGATTTAATAGTGCAATCGTATTCAGGTGCACCCGGTCAAGTGGTGTAACTGAATTCGATCTACGAAGAGGAACTCCCTAAGGCAAGTTGTAAGTGCAATGCCGACGACGGCACGGCCATGCGTGGCGCAGGGAGAGCCGTGTCGCGGATGGTGCCTCCCAGACGCCGGGTTCTTTGAAAGCACAAACCTCGGGCATTCGCGATTCTGCCCGGGTTTGTACTTATATCGCGCAACTATAATATCAGTGGAATTAAAATAAAACTAAATGTTAAATCCGTGTAATTAAAATAAAACTAAATGTTAAATCCGTGGAATTAAAATAAAACTAAATGTTAACAATAATTTAAATAAAGTCTTCCAAAGCGTGGTTGACCCAACGATTGGAGGAGTTTATAGCTGCAGAATCGGATCTAACAAGAGACCCGAGTCTGTTATACCGGCGTCGCCGGATGTTATAAAAAGCAGTTGCAGAGGGAGAGACATGCTGAAAAACCGTGCCTCTGCAGTTGCCTAAGATTTTGAAGACAAGGGGGGGTGTGATGCGGTCAGCACGCAGAAGCGTGTGTCAGGTCGGATTATAGTACTCTCAATCCATCGCAAGATAGTTGCTTGGGCAAGAGACCTAAGGTTACTGACCAAAGGTTGTATGCCCAAGCGACTAAGGGCCAGTTTCATCATCTACGATTAGTTTAATCGGCCGATTATTCCATTGGAACTGACTATAAATCGCATTTGTCGTTAAGCAGATTGACCAATCATGGTTGGCACTTAATCGGTCGATTATATTAATCGGAAATGATGAAACTGGCTAAAAAATTATAACTCACGAACAAACAAATTGTTTGTCACAATCATTTGTTTTCCGCAACAAACGAGTGTTAGAAACTCGTGGGGACCGAAAGGGCGGGTTGGAGGAAATATAGGGATATATAATCTCGCTATAATTATAAATATATATAATATTATAATGCATTTTAGCATATGCTAAAAAAGAAAAGATTATTTTCTCCATATTTTTTATCTTCTTTTAGAGAGACAATGACGACTTTAAATTGCGAAAGTTGTAGTCGATATCCCTACATCGGCAGAGTATCCGTAGAAGAGAGTAATGTTGACTTTGTCTATCAATTTGTGAAGAAAAAATTTGTCCAGAGAAAAGAGCCCTTAACATATACTGCACCTAACATAATTGGGCCACCAAATAATAGTGGAAAAAATTTTCATTTAAAATGCTTTTTTGGAGAAAAAGATGTATGTGTATTTCCTGGTATTATCTGCTATCGTCTTGTACAAAGTCCTAAGAGAGCTACTCTGAAAAGAAATTAGGTGCCGGTAGGGTGGATGTGATTAAGAAATAGGTCAGGGGACACATTCTCGAACTTCCCAAAGGTGCGCCTCTCCCTCACAGGCATTTAAGAAGGGATTACGCAGGCATTATTTTTAATTACGCCAACGAACAATCGATGGACTGGCTAAAAAGCCTATTAACCGAAATTAAAATTGAGAACGCTCCTTTGCGTGCACTGCCGATGAGCTGCTTAAACGTCATCGGGTAATAATAATTTACATGGAGGAGCCGGATTTGTCAACCGAGGAGATCTATTCTAAAATTAGTGTCTTGTCCTGTAAGACTATTGGGAAGTAATCTCATTAATTTCTGAAATTAAATCATTTCTTTAAAATGTATGTGTGTGTATTTGTGTGTACGCGAATGGAGAGGAAAGAAAAACAAATTTAGTTAGCAAAGCTCCTCGAAAGACAAAACACGAGTCTGGCGGCCAGGGAGTGGGTTATCGTAAAGGGAAGCAAAAGTAGGGATGCTAAGAGCGCCCACTTTGCTGCCCTGATCTTTGCGGCCCTCTCCCTGAAAGCCCTGAAGACCTATGGCTTCAAGATCTTCTGCGGACGGTCGAGCAACTGTAAAAAAATAAATAAGTCTATTAGAAAACATTGAAGAATATATTGTAGTAGTAGTAGTAGAGTAGAGTAGTAAGTGTAGTACTAGGAATATTTGAAGGATAGCGAAGGAAAGGCTATCCAAGGGCGAAAGGGTATGCGATGACAGTTGGAGTCCATCCGCTTTGTCAGCTGACAACCGCTATTTTATGGTATCCGCCGTGTAAACGTAGTAAATTATAACTGGAATATGAGCTCTACTCTAGAAGAAATCGAGACGAGCGAGAGGAAGAATTGCGGCCAACCCGTCCTTTTAGGACAGATAAATAACCGATACAAAGATGAAAAATGAGTTTCTCTTCACATTGTCTTCACGCTTTGTCTCAGTTGTTTATCAGCTGTTTGTCAACTGATCGAGCGGGGACTTCTCTCGGAAACTACGTTGAAGGAGAAGGAATTTTTGTTGCCCGTCTGAAACGATATTGTATGCGTGTGCCGTTACTGCTGTATAGTTACTGCTGTATTAAGACAGTATGCGTAAGCGTATTTAACGCTAGAACTCACACGCCATTTTTTTTACCTTTTAACTCAAACAATTGTTTGGTAAACGTTCACATGTGTCCCTTAGACCTTTTCCAAAATGTTTCACCTTACCTCTTGATAATAATCGATGTCATATTCAGTATAACACGGTCTGTCACACCGGAGAGAACATAAAATGTCATATTTGTTGTTTCCTGAATGTGTTCCGGTGTGGAAACATTTTAAAATATTAAATAGTGATCAAGTAAAGTGCGAGCTTTGCACAACTATTAAAATTATTCCGTACGACTTTGTAAAGGCGAAAAATAACTTGGTTGAACTGCACGAAACTATTATAAAAGAAGATGTGAAAAAGTGGCAGAAAAAGACTTGCGAAATTTACCGGCATTTCAGAAGAGAAAAATGGTTTTTTGCACGCTTTTGCGTAATTTGTGCGAGCGTCAAATTAAAGATGTCACTAAAGCAAATATAGAAGCCCACTTGATGTGGAAGCACAAACAACAATTAGATAAAATAAGAAGAGACGTTAAGGTTGAATGGTCTGACATTTTGACATTAACGACAAAGATGCTTTT